CTCTCTCTCTCTCTCTCTCTCTCTGTATGTGTGTGTGTGTGTCTGGTCAAATTGAAATAAATGATGAATAAATAAAATTAAATAATTCTTAAAAACAGAAAGGAACTTTACTGGGAAACTGTTAGGAAGCAAAAGAATAAACAGGGAAACTAGGTATACACAGATCCACCCATGCTTAGCTCAGAGTCCCGTCGAAAGAGGGAAGTTGCCAGGTTCCTGAGTTTCCAGATTCTGGGCTGCAGGGTTCGCTTCCTTTCCTTGTCCTGTCACCTCCCACTTGACTTGCTCTTAGATAGGTTTTATTTTGTCTTTTGGATTTAAAATACAGAGAATTGTGTTTTTCACCATCCTCAGCTCCCAACACATTGTCATCCCAGTGTGCTCCATGGGTCTTTTTATTGGAGGTTTTTGCTATAGGGCGCGTGTGCTCGCCAGAAAGACAGAGAGAGGCAGAGAGACAGAAAGTTAGAAATCACCCCCCGGGGGGATGGCATGCCACAATCCCTTCTCCTCCATTCTCCTCTCGGGTTCTTGGGCATGCACGCACATGTGCCTGGTGTGAATTTAAGCCACTGGGTTTGGGATGCGAACCTCAGTCGACTACGTGGGAGTCCAGTGACACAGCTATTACGCTCACTGCTGGTCCCGACACTATGTCCTTAAGACTCCCCCATGCTGGGACCAGTAGTTGGCTTAGTGGTTAATGTGCTGGACTCCCACATAGAGTACTGGACTTGGAGGCTTGAAACTCATGTCGGGGGCATGTGTGTGCATACTCAAATCTCCAGGAGGAGAATGGAGGAGAAGGAATTGTGGTGTGGCCATCCCTCTTGTAGGGTGATTTCTTGCTTTCTTTCTCTCTGTTTCTCTGGTGAGTGCATGCACCCTACAGCACAAACCTCACTTCAAAAAAAAAAATGATTGCCCCGTGTCATCTGTTCATCCAGTTCATCCAATGTTATCTGATTGTTGTGCAGTGGTTCTTAGAATACTCCTGACATCCTAGCCAATATTTGGACTATAGTCATCTACTTTGTTCTGTTTTGATAGAGAAGTAGTACCTTATTAACATGCCAGTTTGCATTTCTCTTATTACTAACCAGTAACTACTGGGTTGTTGGAAAAGCCATGATGCAATTTTGCATAGAAAAAGAGAAAAATACAACATGACTTTTCCAACGAACCACTATTTCATATAGCCCTTTAGGCCACTTGTGAATTGCCTGTTCACTTCTTTTGCCCATTTTTGAATAGTTTCTTGCCATTTTCTTCTTGATTTGTAGTGAACTGTTTGCATAGTCTAGACATCCTTTGTTGGTTTTGGATGCTACTATGTATGCCCCACCTCATCGACGTCAGCTGATGCTGCCCATACTATTGTGGCTGAACAGAAATCTTGCATTTTGATGACAGGTTAATTTTTGAGCTGATGAAGTAGAATTTGGGGGCCTGGGAGGGGGGGGGCTTTTCCTAGTGTTTGGTGGAATGCTTGGTCTTTCCCATGGCATGATTCTTAGTTGTCTTCCTAGGCTTGACACTAGATTTGTTCTCTTTGAGATCCTGGGCTAGACTTCCTGAGCTCTATGGATATTTCCTCTCCCCAGTGGGAGAAAGGCCCCACCCCATCCTCCCAAGCCCCTAGAGGCCCAGATGGGTTTGTATCTTTTTGGGGAGAGCAAAAAAGCCTGACCTCACTCTGGCCTCAGGAGGGTTGGAGCCAGAGGCTGGAGAAGAGGAGAGGTGGGCATCTGGCTCAGTCAGACCTTGCCTATCCCCCAGGCTTGTGGTGGCAGTGGAGGAGGCCTTCACTCACATTAAGCGACTGCAGGAAGAGGAGCAGAAGAACCCCAGGGAGGTAATGGACCCACGGGAGGCAGCCCAGGCCATCTTCGCATCCATGGCCCGAGCCATGCAGAAGTACCTCCGGACCACCAAGCAGCAGCCTTACCACACCATGGAGAGCATCCTGCAGCACCTGGAGTTCTGCATCACGCACGACATGACGCCCAAGGTAGGCTGCTCAGCTCCCCTTTCCTCAGCTTCCGGTTTCCACCTCCGCTTCCTGTGCTCTCAGTTGTTTTCTATGCCCCATCCTCCTCTCATCTCCACCTGCTCTGTACTATCCTTATAATCTCTTCTCTCATCCCTACAGGGTGAAGTTCTTAGGTAGAGGAGGAGAGGGATGTCTTCAGGACTAGTAGGGGGATGCCTGAGGATCAGTTCTCGTCTTTGCAAGGGCTCTGGAATTTATAGACCCCAAATACCCCTGTTTGTGCTCATTTGAAGCTGTCACCCACCTCTCTGCTCTGTTGCTGACTTCCCTTGTCTTGCTGTCCCTAAGCCACCCTTGTGATCAGGTGACCAACGATGATGCACTTTAGCCTTGACTTAGCCGTGGCTCCCTCTTGGCTCTGTACAGAAAGGAAGAATGAGGTCACAGCCTAGTGGAGGGTGAGCAGAGGGTGGGGTCAGGCAGGCCGCATTGCCATTCCTGACTCTACTGAGTCACATCAGGCCTGTGGCTCCAGCTTCCTCATTTACAAAGTAAGGCCTCAGGCCCCTTCTTGCCCTGGCAGGAAGTTCTGAGGTTCTAGGTCATAGGCATACAGTGGGCTTGGGGCTGTCTTGGTAGTCTGTGGAAGCCGTACCCAGTGGTTAAGGATGGGCTGAGTGAGAGATTCTGACACAGCCCCTTCTGTCCACCCCAGGCCTTCTTGGAACGATACCTGGCAGCTGGACCCACCATCCAGTACCACAAGGAACGCTGGCTGGCCAAACAGTGGACCCTGGTGAGCGAGGAACCAGTGACCAATGGGCTCAAGGATGGCATCGTTTTCCTCTTAAAACGCCAGGACTTCAGCCTGGTGGTCAGCACCAAGAAGGTCCCATTCTTCAAACTCTCTGAGGAATTTGTGGATCCTAAGTCGCACAAGTTTGTCATGAGGCTGCAGTCCGAGACCTCTGTGTGACTGCAACAGACGGCAGGGGGCGGGAGGGAGCCTGGGGCTCCGAGGGGCTGGGGGAGGCTGGGTTCTCAGCCCGGGCACATCCCTGCTGCCTTTCTCCCTCTTGCTCTTGTTTTTTTTATTTTTATTTTTATTTTTTTTTTTACTTGAATTGACTCACCCCCACCTCCTTATTTTACCCCATGTGAACCCAGAGAGACCATCCTGCTGTCAGCCATCCTTGGGACACCCCTCTTCTCTCTCTGCCCTACTTTTGTATCATTCCAGGCCCTGCGGGAATCAGTGCCTCTCCCCCTCCTCCTCCTCCTATCTTTCCCAGGATGACAGTCTCTTCTGAAAGGGCTCAGGGCCCTCCTGACTGTCCCTGCCTCTCCTGAGCCCCGGCTCACCAACTCCTGACGAGTTTCCCGCGACTCCAGAGATCCACAGTGCCAAACTCCAGTGCAGGAGCTCCCCCGCCTGTTCCCATTTCGCCTTCCCCCAGCAAACTCTGAGCTCTTGGCTGGGGTACACCTGCCATGTGGCCCCAGAGTTAGGAATCTCCTGCCAGGGTTATTTGTTGTAGCTCCTAGAGCCTCCCTGCCCCATCCACTCATATTTAGAGTGAGGAAAGATCACATCTTCTACCCAGAAATCCCCACCTTCCCCTTCTAATCTGTGTGGTCATGTGTGACCACAGGGAAGCTGAGGTGGAAACCCTCTGTGACCATTTTTCCTGGTTCTTTGTGTCCCACAGGGGGCGCCATGGCTGGGCCTTTCTAGTGCTGGTTTCTGTGACCACGTGGCATCCTGGCCCCTCCCCACCACACCTCCTAGACCTTGCTTTTTATCATTTGGGACACTTGCCGGCCTTCCCTCCATGCCTCTGAGGGGTGGGCAGGATAGATCCCGGCGGTCTTAGAGAGACCCTGGTCCCTGACCCCTGCCCTCCAAACCTGCCTCACCTTCGTTCCAGTCCTTTCCAGTGAAGGAAGACATATAGACTCCTGTCCAAACTGGCCTGCAGACCCTGACCGACCCCTGTGGCCTGGGGCAGCTGTTCTCTGTTGGGTCAGCAGTCCCGG